ATTTTTTGGTTGCAGCCGTCATTTTTGTTTGGTGGGCCCGGGTTCGGGATTCGAACCCGCCACCTTAGGTGTATGTGGCTGGCGCCTTAGCCGCTTGAGCCACAGGCGCCGAGCCACAATTAGTTTTAAAAGACATTTAGTTTTTGTTGAAAAATTCAAAATTTAAAAATATAAAAATTCCCCTTCAAATTTTGTCCTCATTTAAATCAAAGCAACTATTTCTTGAGAGAAAACCTACTGGACTTCCCTGGTATCAGGCACGAATGCTTGCTGTTGTGTAGCCAGTCTTTTATTGTTTCATGATGGTATTTTTCTTATCACAGATCCAAGTTCTTATTTTGCTTTATTAGCTTCAACATTTTCAATTAGTTAAAGATTTCAATTGCTTTGTATATGAGAAAATTTTATCCCTGAAATTTTCTCCAGAAATGCTGCATGTGAATTTTTCTAAAATGATTTATTTTGTTTTCTCTTTTTTTTTCTGTAATGATCTGGCAGACAAAAATGTATGTACTATCATTTATTTCTTCATGAAACAAGTTATTGCTTTTATCCTTAGACTACTCCCACTGTCATATCTGGGATGAGATCAGAGCCAGCAGCCTTCTGCTTCTAATTAACAATTAAATTCTACAAATAGTATTGCATGTCTCCCAGGTACTGGGCACTGTCTTAACTACGAGGGCTTTGAGAGGACTAAGAGAGGCCCTGCTCTTAAGTAGCTTTCGGTGGGTGGGGACACCAGCAGGTAAACTGCTCAACACCGTTCTGTGTGACAGATGCTGTGGTAGGGATGCCGTGCAGGGCAGGGTGGGTGGGTCACAAAGGAGGGACTGACTTGTCAGCTCCATGTGGGAATTCAGGGAGCGTGTCTTAGAGAAGGTTAGCTTTGAGATGAGTCGGGAGAGATGATTAGTTTGTCAGGAATGAGGGAAAAGAGTGTGGCAGGCATGCACGTATAAGGCGTGGAGACAGGAGATAGCACGGCTTGGGGAAACTGTGAGTTGTTCACTTGGCCGGCGTGCTGGGGTGGCCTCAGATCCCTGCAGGCTCACAGTGCTTTTTGTTCTGAAGCATATTCTTGGTGGTTGGTGCACTTTTCATTTACATAGTGGGTGGATTATGGACAAAAGAAAAACATTATTGTCCATCACAATTAGGAAGGGATCTAGGTGATAATAGTCCATTTAAAATAAATCCTTCCTTCCTCTAAATTCTTAGAATTTGTTTGCCACTGGAAATACAGTTTTTGAAAAGAGGTAGAAAGCAAACTGACTCCTGACAAGTGGCATTTTCAGCTCTCTCCTCAGCCTTCCTGTGTGGACTCAGGGACGATGTGGACCTGGGCACTGTGGATGTTTCCTTTACTCTGTGAATTCAGCCTGGCAGGTAGGTCAGCCCGGCAGCTTTATGGGTCACGGGATTGTTATTACCGTCTTTGGACAAGAATTGTTATCTTCAGAGCAAACGGACCCCTGGGCCACAAACATCCAAGGATAGACAACAGGGGATCTGTGAGCATCTGAGTTTGTGTGTGTGTGTGTGTGTGTGTGTCTGTGTACGTGTACATGCCAGGTTCGTATCTACTCATGTATGTGCCAAGCTCACGTATACTCATGTGTGTGCAAATTTGACAAGATGGCTTATCATGTTTTCAAAGGGATTTTACTATTTTACCAAGTAGTAAAATTCACTAATTTATAGTCCCCTCTTATTTTCAGGGGTTATATTCCAAGACCCCCAACTGATGCTTAAAACTCGAGTGGTACTGAACCTTATGCATACTATGTTTTTCCTACACATACATGTCTATGATAAAGTTTAATTTGTAAAACTCAACAAAGAAGTTTATTTATTAATTTACAAAGTTTAATTCACAAATTAGGCAAGGAGATTAACAATAACTCATAATAAATAGAATAATTATAGCAATATACTGTAATAAAAGTTATGTGAATGTGATCTCTCTCTCTGTCTCTCTCTTTCTCAGAATATCTTATTACATTGTACTCACCTCTTTTCAGACCCTATTGATGGCAAGTAACTAACACTGCCAACAGTCAAACTGCACATAAGGGGGGACTGCCATGATGGTGAATGCTTGTCTCCATTGTTTTTGGGTTAGTTGTTGTGGCTTCATCTACAATATACACACATAAAAAATAAGCAGTTTTCACACTGTTTGCCATATATTGTGAGGATGTAAGGGGAAGTGATGAGACAATGTATTTCTATAGACCCAACTCAAGACTGTGGTTCTAGTATTTGTACAATATCTTGCAGATCTATTAGTTTGATCACAACTTATGTTAAAAAAAATTAAGACCAGAGGAAAAGAGGTTGGGGCTGGGCTCTGGAAAGGTAGAGAGGCATCATGTCATGAATTAGTAGCTTGGGCTAACATTACAAAATGCCATCAGTGGCTGGGTGGCTTAAGCAGCAGAAATGTCTTTTCTCATAGTTCTGGGGGCTGCAAGTCTAGCATTAAGGTGCTGACAGTGTGGGCGGTCTCCTCTGAAGCTTCTTCTCCAGGCCCTGCAGATGGCTGCCCTCCTGCTGCCTCTTCACATGGTCACCCCTCTGTGCCTGCATGCTCTGATTTCTCTCCCTGTAGGGACACCAGGCAGTTGAATTAGGGCCTAGCCTACTGGCCTCATTTTAACTCAGTTACCTCTTCAAAGGTCCTATTTCCAAAAATAACCTTCTGAGTTACTGGGGACTTGGACTTCAATTTATGAAGTTTGGAGAGATGCAATTCATCTCCTAACATGTAGTAATTGATGGTCACCAAGAGGGACTGGTTGCCTGCCTTGCAGCCCCCTGTGGTTACACCAGTGGCACTCAGGAGCTTGGTAGATTCAGGCAGGAGGCCTGTTGCTCTCCCACTCATCTGGTCTCAACTAGTGCTCCTAATTATCCAGTTTTAAGTTCTAACTAAATGCATTATGGCTCCTGCAAGTCATCCTTTCCCTAACACGTCTCCTCCTATTTTCTATCTGTCTTCTCACACACACTGTCTCTTATAAACTGACTCCATTTCCCACCACTCTTCCTGTGTAGAATATCTTTCCCTTGGTCTTGCTCAGATTTGCCTTTCTTTTATGTCAAGATGTTTTTTAAACTCTAAATTTGAAACAGCACCAAAGTGATATATCATAGAGGGGAAGAGGAAGGTTGATAACATCTTTTTAATTTTAAAAATGCTCCTCTTGCCTATGGAAATTCTCTGATAAGCAAGAACATTCTACCAATATTTTTTAGAGGAAAGTTAATGAACATTTCCCCTTATTTCTAGAACCAGGAGAATATCAGCATTTTTTTTTTGGTTTTTTTATTTTTTGAGGGTATGGGAAAGATAGATGGAGTAACTGCCTGACCTAGCCTTCAGTTGTCTGTTTTTAAAAATAAAAATTCTATTTTTTGAATCATTTTAGATAGAAAAATTGTGAAAATAGTATAGAGAATTCTTTTTTAGCCTCCATTCAGTTTCCTCATTGTTAATATCTCAAAATATTACAATACAGTTGCCAATACTAAGAAACTAATATTAGCCCATTACTTTTAAATACATTTCAAATTTTATTTGTACTTCACTGGTGTTTTCTATTAAATGACCTCCTTCTGTTCCAGGAATTGATGGAGATATGGTAATATTGCATTAAATTTTCATATCTCCCTAATTTCTGCTGGTTTGTGACAGTTTTTTGGTCTTTCCTTATTTTTCATGACCTTGGCAGTCTTGAGGAGTACTGGCCAGTACTCTTGGGTCTTGGGGGACAAAAAAATGCAAAAAAAGCAAAGTGTCCATTTCTCTGTCCCAACTTTCTTCATGTTTGTGACTGTCTTCTAATGGAAAATTCAATAAGACTTAAAATAGGCACACTGGTTGCCACCAAGCAGAAAGACTGTGGCCGTTGTGTGGGCTCTGCCAATCATGGTAGTTCTGTTAGGTGAGATTAAGGTGATTACAATGTGTGGCATCGCTCCAGGTGAGGCTACATGTGGGGAAGTGAAGCAAGAAAGCCTGTTCCAGTTCCCCTGCCACCTCCTAATTTTTGGTAGAGTGAATCTAAAATAACCATATGCAAATTAAAATGCCATGGGGACATAGGAGAAGACCAGAGAAAACTATGTTAAATTCCTCCCCGAAATCTTAGAGTTCTGGATTTTTAAGCAGGGAATCTATTTTTATATTAGTCAGGGAAAGGTGTTTATGTTATAGCAATAAACAAGACCCAAATCTTAGTGTTCAACACAGCCACCTGAGTTCAATCACAGATAAGAAGGGGACCCAGACTGGTGGGGGCTCCGCCATCCTCAAACACACCCATGTTAGCATGTGTCTCCAGGGTGTGCACTGGCAGAGGAGGAGAGAAAGGAGGGTCACACACCAGCACTTAGATGTTGCCTGTCACATGTCCAAAGCCAAGGTGAGTCACATGGCTGTGCTATTGATGAGCACTGGAAATAGTGATGAGCGTTCATTTTATCTACCACAGATCACTTCTGTAATACCAGTATCAGGAGGCCTCTGTAAAGCCATATGCTGAGGAGTAAGAGCAAAACAAATGTAGCCCCATAAAAACATCCAGGTTGAAAGGAAAATTGTTTTTGAACCACTTTCTGGAAATCAGATATTTGACTCCCTTTCTAGCTATGGCTTGTAATGTGTGTTATCTAGAGCTTCTGAAGAAGCTAGGGAGAGGTACAAAAGGAAAAACAGGAGGACCTAGAGTTCACTGAGGTTTGGCAAGGATACATTTGGATCTATGAAGATCTATGCCTACACTGATATTTTGGTGGCCGGCTTTGGATTCAGCCAGTATAAGGAAGAGAGAGAATAAAGATGGAGATAAAATATGATAGTAGGAGGCCATAATGATAATAAAACAAGACCAAGAATATTCTGGGGAGAGAGAGAAAGGCTTTTGTTTCTGTGTTCAACTTTGAAATCCTCCAACTTTGAAATCAGTGTGATGAGTATTAGTGAACTGGAGGTTGGTGGGGGGCCAGATGGATGGATATTTGTAAGAAACTTGGCCAAAGGATTAAAGATAGAGCCACATATATACCCACCCACAAACATCACACATACCACACACACCACACTACACACTCATGTATCACCCATATCACATGCTACATACAAGCACACCTCCCCACTGCACACATACACCCATCCTATACACACCACACATACTCCTCACCCCCCCATATATACCACCCATATACACCATACACACAGACACACACCTGTGATTATCTCTGAGCCCTGGAGGTAGAACGTGAGTTGGTCAGTGTGCAAATCATTCTTCCTAGGACGACATTGGCTGACCCTTGCTTCACCCCTTGTGGGATTTTGCACATTCCTTCTGGTAGTTGTGAAGTGTGGAATCTGTTAATATTTTGCTTACTGAGCCGAAGAATCCTCTGGGAGGGTTTCAAGCTCTGTGGGCTCTTTGAAGAATGTGTTAGTGGCACAGCTTCTGATCTCCATGTGATATGTGGTATTGCTTGGTTGGGGTCCAGTTAACTTTGGTCTTTTTAAGCATGTGGACTTGGAGATCACTAGCTTTGTCATGGTTTTCAGCATGCAAGTAGTAAAGACTGAAAGTCTTTGAACTGCTGACCACTGGGTGCTGCAGGTGTGAGGCTTGTGTGCAGCACGCGGAGGAAGGCAGTTCTCTGGAATGAACTTGAACTCTGTACAACATGGAGGCTTCTAGCTCTCCTGCCCCCTCATTTGTCATTATCAGTGGCTCCTCATTTCCTAGACCAAATATACGAATGTACTATACATACATACACATTTTTAGAGAACTTTTAAAAATTAGAAAAACCTAAAGCCAAACAAAACTAGAAGTGCCACCCTTTACTCCTTCCTTCCTGTTACGAGGCCACGCTCTGACAGAGCTGACATGTCTACAGTATTATTCCGGTGTGTAGCGGAAAGGGAAGGTGTGGGGAGCACGAAAATTTGTTGACATTGTTTCACTTTCTTCTGCTTTATGGTATCTTTTGGCTAATTGGGGGTAAAGACTCACTGCTCCAGAGTTCCTGCCTTCCCCTCTGTGCCTCCTTAAGGTGGTGTCTGTATAGATGAGCAGGATTAGGTGACTTCCAAGTCTTGGAAAGGGCTCCTGGATCCCTGGGAACCAGCCCTCATGCTGCCCTCTGGCTTCCCTTGGACTATCTGCTGTGGTCTCCTGCAGGTCAGGGGGCATTGCTGGGCTTTGGGTCATCATATGGGCACCTCTTCCTGAAGTTCCTGCCCCGGTTGTTTGCCTGTGGTCCTGAAAAAGCTCTGTGCACAGAAGCCTCTTCTTCCTAATGCCAGGCCTTATCCCTTCTCATAGAACTATCTCTAGCCCCTACCTACACTGAGACGTGGGAATTTCTGGATCCCTGCATGCTACACTTACCTGTATGGAGCTCACCTAGAAAGCTGCACCAGGTCCAACCTCTGCTAGTGCATTGTTAGGACACCACACCACGATGAATATAGTGCTTAGTGGAACATGAGGCTTCTTTTAGACTATAGGCTTGCAGCCTCCGACAGGCTGGCTGTGCCTGATGAAATAGACTCCAGGCCCGGTGACCTTGGCTCATCAGATCCATCTGCATGTTTGTCCTGCTCTATCCATAGCACTGACATCTGAGCTTGTGCTCCTTTTGTTCCCTCCCCCTTTCCCACCCCTAATATTTCCCTTATTAGAAGTGGTGGGGGTTTCCCTTCACCCTATCCGGTAGGGACTTCCTTCCTAGGGGGCTCTAGAGCTTCCTTTGGGATGTAAAGGTGACTTCAGGAGTTGCCTTCCTCTTTCAAGCCTGCCTCTTGAGACTGTGGTCTTGCCAAAGGCTCAACGAAGAGGTTAGTTTGTGAAACTAAAATTACCCTCACTTCTTCATTTCTCTATTGTGTGTGTGTGTGTGTGTGTGTGTGTGTGTGTCCCTTGGTAATTCAGTGAAGCCTATAAACTGATGTTTGTAAATGCATTTGAATAGAATCAATAGGATTACAAAGAAAACCAAATAATGAAGTTATCAAAATGCTAAAGAAATAAATTAGTGATGTGGTATACATGTTCTTCTCTATTACTACATTAAATAAGAAGATCTAATAATTACCATAATTTTGGTTTAATCATCAGATCTCCTAATTATGTTAATTCAGAAATAGTGATAATTGCATTTGGTATTTCAAGATATCTGCAAAAAATGAAATACAATCTTAAAATAACTGTGATTTTTAGTGGTGACAATGATATTGAAACAACAGGCGGATTTTGGTCCAAGTCTAGCCCATTGCAGCACAAAGATTCAATTATTGAGACAATGAGGACAGTCTAGGAAGAAAGGACTTTTTCTAATGTGAAAGACGTCTGGGGGACGCCTGTGCTCAGTGGGTAGGGCGTCAGCCACATGCTCCAGGGCAGGTGGTTTGAACCCAGCCCTGGCCTACTAAAAAAAAACAACAACAAAAAACTAGGCCTTGTGGTGGGTGCCTTGTAGTCCCAGCTACTAGGGAGGCTGAGGTAAGAGAATCACTTGAGCCTAAGAGTGAGGTCTCTGTGAACTGTGACACCACAGTACTCTACCAAGGGTGACAAAGTGAGACTGTCTCAATTAAAAAAGAAAAGAAAAGAAAAGAAAGAAATCTTTTTCAAGAAAAAAAGAGACGCTGCTTCAAATCTGTTTCTCTAACAACAGAAATCACAGGGTTTTTAAGGAGGAGCCACAACCCTGGGGGAAGATCATGGTGTAACTAACAAGGGACCTTGAAGTATTAGGGGCAGGTTGTAGGGGAAAGTAAGTCTCAGCATCAGGAGGTCTGCCTGCTAGCCTTCAGAATCTCTTCTGTCTCATAGAAAATCCATAATTTCTGAGGAACAACTCAAAAGATCAAGTAGTTAAGGGAGAGGATTCTATAAACATATAGGTAGGGGTCATTGAAATTTGTGCATCTAGCCACCTACAACAAAGTCCCAGGTAAGGAAGCCAGTACAAGGAGTTTATTGACTACATTCAAGATGGAAGGAAAGTCTAACTTTAGGCTATAGATTACTAAAAATTAAAGATATAAAATTTTCTCCATGTAAGTTTATAGACCCCTGAATTCTACTTCTCGACCTCTTAGGGGTCCAGATCCCTGTTGTAGATGGTAGTATCACCTTTGCCTATGAAGGGATGGCTGCTATTGGGTAGGAAATACAAGGAGCAAGATTTATGAGTTATGAAAATACAGCTGAAGATATTTCATAATAAAATATGGAAATACAGGTGAAGATATTTCAAAAATTTCAATTTTTTTATGGGAAAAGAAAATTGTTGATAAGGTTGAAGTGTAGCATTTTGTATTTTTCACTTATGTCCACATCACCTGCTACCCAGTTTTCAAGAGTGGTTCTATTCTTTGATGCTCTACTGAGTATTTCATGAATACTTTACATATGCCTGCTGTTTTAATAATTTTTGCTTCTCAAGTTTGGCTTTTGAGTATGAATGTAAAAAGTATTTCTTAAGAAGCATATTAATGGAAAAAAACCCAAACTATGAAAAGTAATTTAAAGAGATTTATTCTGATCTGAATGTGTGTGTCTGGCCCAGGGCACATGGCCTCCAGAAATCCTGAGAAAATATTTAAGGAGGCAAGAATTACACATAAGATACTACAAGATGGGACATCTCAAAGCAGCGGTGTGGGGAATGGAGTGGTGGGGTCGGGGTGGGCTTAAGATTATAGGTGAGTTTAAAGATTCTTTGTTTGTAATTGGTTAAAGAAATGAAGCTTTATCTAAAGCCATGGAGTATTTTCACTTGTGGATGTCAATCAGAGACAAGCTACCCCAAGCTACCCCAATGCTTACTAAAATTCTAGTGGTCTATCTGTTAAGTAAATTGATGGCCTATAGATATGGTTTAAGTTTTGTTTTGTATAGCTTTAGGCCTTTAAATGATTTTGTATCTTATTGTTACAAAGAGTATCTCCAAAAAGGGACAGGGAACAGAAGGCAGGTCTGACCTCCTTTCTTAACTCAGCTTTAAGGTTTTTCTGGGGTCCCCTTGGACAAGAGGGGGGTCCATTCAGTTGGCTGGAGGACTTAAGATTTTATTTTATTTCACAAGTAGGAATTTAGCTCTTCTAAGGGAATAATTAGAAAGATAGAGTTAGAGTCTCTCCATGAATCTGATTAGGAGAACTTATTGTACCTGGCAGCTAACCAACAAATTTTGCTTTTGATCAGCCTGTTTTCATTAAAATGTTCAATGCTGGCAATACTTATTGTGTACTGAAATTGTTGTGTTTGTGGGTTTGTTTTTTTTTTTAATATTTAGCTCTGCCAGCTAAGCCTGAGAACATTTCTTGCATCTACTACTATAGGAAAAATTTAACTTGCACTTGGAATCCGGGGAAGGAAACCGGTTACACCCTGTACAGAGTTAAGAGAACTTAGTAAGTACAAGATCTTGGGTTTTATCAGTAGGGTTAAGGAGTGGGAGAGATAGAAGCTCCTGATTCATTTGTGATTCATGTTATTTAGAAGGTAAAACTTTTCTCAGTTATAGTTCCTGGGTGACTAATATATACAACCAGTATTGCTCTTTGTTTAATTTTTTTCTACCATTTAACAACAGAAAAATGGTTTCTAACCCATGAGCCATAAAAGAACAAGAACTAGGCTATATTTGACCTGCAGGATATAGCTTGCCCACCTCTACTTTTAAAAGTAAGAATGATAAAGACCCAATAACCCATAGTCCAAATGGCTTATTTGTTTCCCCAGACTTGTTGGTTCTATGCCCAATGTTTAACAGGAATTACTAGTAAAAGGAAAATCTAGAAGGCTTAATAGGTTTATCGCTATTTTTCTAGTTTATAGAGACATTCCCCCTTCTACTTCCATCTCTCACTGTGAGTTGTCATTATTATCAACAGTTGGATATACAGAAAAAGGAAACCCCTGGTGTCTCCAGGCTTATCCCCAGCCCTGATGAAGGGCCCCAGACTGGCTGGGCTTTCTAGGACTCCTAGACTGCTTGCATTTTGGTGAATTTATCACCAAGAATATCTCTTCTAGGAAAAACTGGAAGGATTTCCTTGTTGGTAGTCAACCTGAGAGCTGATCACAGTGGGTTAATGATAAAGCAGAAATCCTAGTGAGACCCAGAAACAATAGGAATGTGAAGTTTCGAATGAACGAATGAATAAAAATGGATGAATTTTTCCTTGGAAAAGAAAAGGAATTGGAGATGCTTTCATTGAAGTAATAGTTTTAAACTGAGATGTGAAGGATGTCTAGAGATGTGGAAAGGCCAGAAAGGGCATTTCTCAAAGGATGTGCCCCAGTCATACAATGAATAGAAACAAGGCTAGGAGTCAAAGCTGGTCTGCTTCTAGAACTCATGCTTGTAACCACAACAAAACACTACCATGGGGCCATCTTTGTACTGTACAATAACCAGCAAAAACCTTAAGTTCTTTGCTAGTTTCAAGATTCCATGATTCCATGTGTATAAGCTCCATTCCTTTCCCACATCCCAGCAAGCCCTGGCACCTTGCAAAATGGGCCTCCTTCAGCCAGCTTCACCTCCTCATAATTCCCAGAACCACGTGGACTGTGGGTATACCCACCCATTTGATCCCCACTAATATGTGCTCTTATTTTATTAAGTTGCAGCTCCATAGAATATGTCATCTATCTATCTATCTATCTATCTATCTAGTTTAATGAGTTTTCTGAAAACAATATATACCAGTGTTTAAAAATTCAACCTGAAAAATGTTGAAAATTTCCAGGTAACAACATTAATTTTTAATGATCTTTCCAGACACCATGAATAGTTATGTAAATAGCTATATATGTTTATATAACTGTGATCATTTTATACATAATACACACCTGTTTTTTATACAAACAATAGAATACAAGTGTCTTTCTATAGCAGGGGTCCTCAAACTTTTTAAACAGGGGGCCAGTTCACTGTCCCTCAGACCGTTGGAGGGCTGGACTGCGGGCCCCGGGACAAGTCAGCTGTTAAGCAAGACAGGCAGCAGCAGCAAAAACACCTAGCAGGCCAGATAAATGTCCTAGGCCGGCTGCATGTGGCCTGTGGGCCGTAGTTTGAGGGCACCTGATCTATAGCAATAAATACAGTGTTTCAAAAACCACCACTTTAAATTGTATTTGTGTATTTACCATAATTTATTTAACATATCCTCTTTGAGACATATTTTATAAATAGTATAATACATATTTTTTTTGTTTGTTTTTCAAGAATAAATTTTTAAGGCTGGAATCTGAGATTTTTCAGGAGCTGTTCATTATTTCTTGCCAAAACTACATGCATTACAAATGTAGCTTTTGGTGAGCTTACAGGTTTCTAAGCATGTCTCTGTGGCTCCTGAAGCATCTTAAGCAGGCAGAAAGCAGATGTTTACCTTTCCTTATGAGGAAGGAATTTGGAGAGAGGGTAACTAAATCCTAGACTACACAGTTCTCAAGAGAGACCCAGAGTAAAACTAACAAATAATGCTTAAAACATTAAGTGTGGCTGTGTTTCAAAACTATTGTACTAATCTCTTGTTGAATTGCTTTTTACTTCAAAGCTCTTATGGAAATAAAATTGAGAGTTGTACACTCAATAGTTCTGCAAGTGAAAATCGTGCTTCGTGCTCTTTTTTTCCTCCAAGAGTAACAAACAGAGATGATTGCACCATTCAAGTGGAAGCTCAAAATGCAGATGGTGTAATTAAATCTGACATAACATCTTGGAGCATGGATGCCATAGGTAAGTGTTACTTGATATTCTTATATACTCTTTTTATTTTTAAAATTTTAGACAGGGTCTCACTTTGTCAGCCTCAGTAGAGTGCTGTGGTTTCATCGTTCACAGCAACCCCAAACTCTTGGGCTCAAGTGATTCTCTTGCCTGAGCCTCCCAAGTAGCTAGGACTACAGGTGGATGCCACAATGCCTGGCTATTTTTAGAGACAAGGTCTCTCTCTGGTTCAGGCTGGTCTCAAACCTGTGAGCTCAGGTGATCCACCCTCCTTGGCCTCCCAGAGTGCTAGGATTTCAGGCATGAGCCACCAAGCCCAGCCTTCATATATACTCTTTATTGAATGATTACCTTCTTTTTTTAAATAAAGAAGTATCTGGACTCGAAAGCTGACTCAAAGCTGAAGGGTATAATAGGTATGTGTTATTGATATAAAGAAATTTCATCATCTTATTAAAGAAAAAAGGAGGGAAGGAAGAAGGGTAGGAAAATAAAGGAAGGGAGGAAGGGAGGATTAACTAAATGAGAAAAAAGAATGAGAGAGACCTTGCTGGTCATTGATTTCCTCTCATAGTTTATGCCATAAATTGTACTCAAAGAAACAAAAAGTTCTCCCCTACCTCCTTCAATATCACTGCTCATAATGGAAAAGAGTAAAATTCTTATTTTTAAAAATGTCTCACTACTGGCTCCGTGCCTATATCTCAGCGGCTAGGGCACCAGTCACATATACTGGAGCTGGGTGGGTTTGAATCCAGCCTGGGCCTGCCAAACAACAATGACAACTACAGCCAAATAATAGCCAGGTGTTGTGGCAGGTGCCTGCAGTCCCAGCTACTTGGGAGGCTGAGACAAGAGAATTGCTTAAGC